CAATACTTGCTAAAAGACTTGTAACACGTGTATCCTCAAATGCCAGGGATACATGCAGTTTCCTTTATTTCTTCTTGATTGTACTGGAATTTCTAAGGTTGCAAAATAATTAGCCTCCTCTGAAATCGCCTTAAGCTCCTGCCACACAAAATGACAGCTTTTTCCCTCTCCTTTCTCTGTGTGTGTGTGTGTGTGTGTGTGTGTGTGTGTGTGTGTGTGTGTGTTACACGATGGGTGTTTGGAGTAGTAATGGAAGAGGAGGCCATAGAGATACTAGGGAAAGTAGAAGGACAAATACATGACTGTAGAGAAAATGAAGGAGGGTTTCGTTCTTCCAAACTTACCTGGATTTCATGACTGTTCTTGCTTTAAAAAAGATATTTCCTAGAGTTTATCCTTTTCGTGTTATCTCAGGCATTTTGGTCGGGCTGGCCCAGCAGCTCTGAGTGTTGACCTTTAAATAGCCATATGTCTTTGGTCTGTACATTTGAGAACATCTCTAGTATGTGGTATATTTGGGGTACTTACATATATTAAGTGAGCATTCTGAACCAGAAATTTAAACCAAACCAAACACAGATACCTTTACATGGAGCATGGACCTTTCATGAAGCGTAAACAAAACAATAGGAATTAAAAAAAACTGAGACATGAGCTGTCTCATAAAATAGACAAAATCTGTTTACATTTTAAACTTCAATATAAACTTAAAGAATACATAAATGTGCTTCTGTTATTAACTAAAAGCCCTCTGAAAACCCAAAATCTATTTTGAATTTTCTTTTAAGGCTTTGCTCGAATATTTGGATACCCTGTAGGCATCATTGGAAACAATGGAGTTCTGTTTTCTGAATCTGCAAAAAAGGCAAGTACTATTAAAAATGCATTAAGATTTTCTGTTTTAAGTTCACATAGTTAATTGTGAAGGACATGTAAAAAATTACAATCTATTGCATGAACGCCTTAGAGTTTTAACTAGGTAACTTAGCGAGCAGAGCATGCTGTGTGCTTCTGCATGGGTCTTAGTCTTAGATGTGGTTTCTGTGATGGTTTCTGTCGACATGGCATAAGGAGCGATCTGCAGCACTATTAAAAAGTCAAATACAGAAAAAAAAAGTCAAATACAGGTGTTTTAGGAAGCTTCCTGTGAATGCTTGACATACAGTGGCTGTTTGTAAGTGTTCTGAGAAGGTAGGGAGTGTTTTTGTCCTGTAAGTGTCTCGTTCTTGAGGCTCTCTGTGCTGGAGAGAGTCAGCTGTGCTGTGCAGGTGGTTCTGAGATGTGATCTCCTAATTCTCTTCCATCCTTTCATTGTTTATTTTTACTTTTTGGGAATGGGAAGGTAGTAGGTCTTTGTTAGTGGAGTTCTAACTTCAAAAGAGGAATTCTCTAGTCCCTTTGAGCTTAGTATGGATTTCACATGAATCTTCTCAGATTCATCTAAAGTTATATAAATGTAACTCATGCATTTGGTTAAATATTATTTTAAGGACAAAATGGTTTTTCCTTTTTAATAAGCAAAGCAATGCCCCTTGCTGATAGAGGTAACAAGCCAAGACAATTAGCTCTTTCTTTTTGTTTTTTTGGGGGAGGGGGCTTGGGGGGCTTTTTGAGATAAGGTCTTCCTGTAGCCCCAGCTGGCCTGCAACTCACTATGTAGTCTAGGCTGGCCTTGAACTCAGAGAGATCTACCTGCCTATGCCTCCGAGCACTGGGACTAAAGGTGTGCGCCACCACGCCAGCCAATTAACTCTTTCTTATACTAATTGAGAACAAATTTGTCTTCAAAGAAATGTTTTATCAATAAAACAGATTTCTGTATTCTATTATCCAGTCCCTCAACTCAGTTATAGAATGAAATTAAGAAAGTCAAAATATAGAGAATGAAAATCAGCTGAGTATGTAGTTTACATCTAGCACTTGGGAGACTGAGTTAGCAAGACAGTGAGTTCAAGACCAGCCTGAGCTGTGTGGAGAGATTGTGCTCCCCCACCAATAAATTACCCATAATCATATTTAATACTTTTTAAGCAATTTGTTTCTCTAGCTTTTTTCTTAATACCAAAATTGGGCTTTGAGATGGTGGTTAAGAGAGTATACTGCTCTTGCAGAGGACTTGGGTTCAGTTCCCAGCACCCAAATGGTGGCTCACAACCATCTGTAACTCCAGTTCCAAAGTCTTTGACAATCCCTTCTGCACACACATGCACACACTTACACATAAAAATTACTTTGCTCTATGCAGAGGTTTTGTCATTTTCATTTAATAGTATTTCCCAAAGTATTGGATATTCCTGAGACAGCAGCTTAAAGAGTGTGTGTGTGTGTGTGTGTGTGTGTGTGTGTGTGTGTGTGTGTGTGTGTAGTATATCTCACTAGAGGAAATGTCAGACTGGAGCCAGACAAAACACCTGATTTGTCTGTCAGCTTGGCACAAGTAAATCCAGGAGGAGTTATCTTTGGCCCCAGTCTGACATTTCATTTATTGCAATAAGCCCCAAAGGTCTATGTGATTTCCTCATTCCTGTAAACATAGTCATTCTGAAGCTGAGCAGTTACTTTGCAATTTTGTGCTTGCCAGGGCCTTCCTAGCACAGGTAAAGGAATTACAAAAGCAATAAAACATAAGGAGATGGTTAATAAAAGTTCATTGTGCACATAATCTTTAAGAGATAGGGAGAGAATAGTTACATTTTTGGGTTACAGTTTCCTAACCTCAAGGCTAGAAGTCTCTAACATTCACTTAATCTAAAAATTCCATTTATTTGGGTTGTGTTGGTAAGAAAGCTGTATATTTTAGCATAGTCTTGAGGTATGAAGGAATTTCAAATGGTCACTGAAATGTAAGCATCTTCTTTAATACCCTAGAGGGTTTATAGTCTACCTTTTCTAAAGTGGAGAACTAGAAAATGAGAGCAGATTTCTCCAACTCTTGTTGATACAGTTCTTTCTTTTCTGTTACTTGAATTCACTTGCTGTTGGGAATGCAGGAATTACAACTTCATCCCTGACACAGCAGTTGGCTTACAGCCACAGGTAGCTATGCAAAGAAAGTAAAGTGCAGACCTACAGTCACGTGTGTCCTGTTGGTGATGGGCTGCATGGAGATGTTACTGTGAATGGAAGGTCAGATTAGCCAGGCAAGGGTGTTTTTGCTTTGATCTCACAGCAATCTGTCTGCCTCTGCCTCCCGAGTGTTGGGATTAAAGGTGTGCGTCACCATGCCTAGCTGATATGTTCTTTCTTATCTTTGACTCTTACAGTTTTGGTAGAATGTTTGATGATCATGGAGTTCATTCATTTCTTTAAAAAACAGATTTTCTGAAATGTTGTGTTCACAGGGTGCTCACTTTGTCCAGTTATGCTGCCAAAGAAATATTCCCCTGCTGTTCCTTCAGAACATTACTGGTGAGAAAATAGCTTAATTTGCTTGTGTACATTTATTTCAGAACTGCGTGCTGCCTCTTGTGGCACATGTGTTAATGCAGAAAGTTTACTTTATGAATGTTGGATGTTTGGAGATTATATGTATGTTCTAAGGAAAGCAGTTTGTGAATTTTGTATATTACAGACTTTCAAATGACTTCTCTTGACTCTTACCATTCCCAGGGAGCAGCAGGCTGCTTACAGTCTCATCACTGCCAGAAAAGGTTTTTTAACCAGTTTCCTTGTTCCCATAGGATTCCAAGTACATGCTGTAATCATCTCCTAACCTTTCAGTGTACAACTAATTGTATATGAAGTAATATCTATCAATCATCTGTTTATTTTTGGTGTGTATATGTGTTTGCATGTGTGTGGGTACATGTTGGTTGACTTTGGGTATCACTCCTCAGAAATTGTCACCTTGTTTTGTTTTTGTTTTGTCTTTTTGAAACAGGGTCTCCTTGTAGCCCTGGCTGGCCAGGAACCCCCTATGTAGACCAGGCTGGCCTTTAACTCCCAGAGATCTGCCTGCCTCTGCCTACTGAGTGCTGGGATTAAAGGTGTGCCCCACCACACCTGGCCCACCTTAGTTTTTGAGACACAGTTTCCCTGGCATCTGGAGCTTATCAGGCCAAACTAGCTGACTAGAGAACCCCAAAGACCCTCCTGCCTCTGCCTCCCCAGTGCTGGGAGTACAAGTGCAGACCATAACACCTGGCTTTTTGTGTGGGTGCCGGGGATTGAACTCAGGCCCCCATGCTTGTGCAGTAAGGATTTACTGAATGAGCCATCTCCCCAGTAATATCTTTTGAAATGTGCTTTTGCACAGCCTGAACTGAAGTCTGGGGCTTTGCGTTTTGATCCCAAAAGATGGTATTACCTATGAGCAGAGTGAGCTATCATTACTTTGAAGGCAGATCATCTGCAGAGATGGAGCAAAGGTGGTAGGGTAAGAGCTTGAAGAGAACTGATACTTATGGTATCTATGATAGAATGTTCTGGGGAGTCAGGATGCACTGGTCAAAACAGAACTGAGTTGATCTGAGGCCTGGCTGAGAAGGGTGGCTGGAGTAGCAGACTGCCCAGCAAAGATGAGGAGCCCTGCTATGGTTCCTGTGGTGATCCTAGCAAGGTCAGATCCTCCCTCAGGGTTATTGGCCTGAATGGGATGTTGCGTGTTGGAGATTTGCCATCTAGGAATAGAGTCAGTCAGGCAAGCAAGTCTACACACATGGCTCGAAAGAATTGTCTTCCCTGGGGCCTCAGGTGGAAGACATGCTGAAGCGTGACTTGATCTTTCTCAAATGAAGAGAATCCCCTGTTCAGCTGCAGAGCTATAGAGCACTTTCCACAGAGCTGGAGCTCAAAGTGGAAGGGTGCTATAATTATAAAAAAAATACCTCTCTTTTTAAGGCACCTTTTAAAAAATGGAAACAACTCAAATTTGTTGAGAATGTAGATATTTTATAAACATTTTCATGCTTGATGAAAATATAATCATTTTTTTTTTTTTTGTCTTTTTTGAGACAGGGTCTCCTTGTAGCCCCAGCTGTCCTGGAACTCACTATGTAGACCAGGCTGGCCTCGAACTCACAAAGATCTGCCTGCCTCTGCCTCCCAAGTTGCTGGGATTAAAGGTGTGCACCACCACGCCCGGCCTAATATAATCATCTTTTAAACTAAAAATATTACCACTGTGGGCTAAAGAGATGGCTCAGCAATTAATAGTGCATACTACTCTTGCAGAGGACCCAATTCAATTCCTAGCACCCACATCAGGTGGCCTACAACTGCCTGTAACTCCAGCTTGAGGGGGAATCTGACATCTCTGTCTGTGGGCACCTGCACATACCCACACACAGATACACACACATATACATATTTTTTTCTATAATCACTCTTTTAAAAAAAAAATTTAGTGAATTTTGTACAATATATTTAGGTCCCCTCCTGTATCTACACCCACCCCCCGCCTTACTAACACCCCACCAAATTTCCTGTACTCTAATATATATATATATAAATATATAAAATCAGGGTTGTGTGCCCAAATTCCCTTTGGTGTGGGTTCGTCCACTGGAGCCTGGTCAATCTATTAAGAGTCTCACCCTTAAACAAGACTGAATCTCCACTTCCCAGCAGCCATCAATTGCCAATAGTTTAATTGGGGTTGGGGTTTCTTACCCACTTCTCCATGTCTATGCTGGAATTTTGCCTGACTTGAGTTTACATGGAACCAGTTTAAAACATTTTTTTTTAAACCTTGCTATTGAGTCCCTGGCAGGGAATCAGCATCCCCATGAAACATTCATCTAAATTTCATCAATGTTTTAAACAGTGCTACAGGAAGAACAATCGCTACTTTAAACCAGGTCAGTGGATACAGAAGCCCCTGTCTGGCCTACCACAGTACCTTTCCCTAAGCTGGCTATGTCACAAACTTTTGTTGTCAAGCCTCTGCTTTGAGATGCTTTCTGGAGACAAATATTTCCTTAAAAATCTGTGTGCATAGAAATGAACAATATTAAGGACATTTGAAAACTGAAGGGAGAAAAACTTGTTTTTACCTTTAAAAAATTTTATCTTTTATGTGTATGAGTGGTTTGCCTGCATGTATGTAAATGTACCACATGCGTGCAATGCCTGCAGAGGCAGAAGTGGGCATCAGATCCCTGGAATTGGAGTTATGGGTGGTTGTTAGCTACCATGTGGGTACTGGGAACTGAACCCGGATCCTTTGTAAGAGTAGTCAGTGCTCTTAACCACTAAGCCATCTCTCCAGCTCCTTATTTCACCTTTTAAATATTTTATTTTTTAAATTTTATATGTATGAATGTATTGCCTGAATGTGTGTAAGTGCATGCGCGTAAGTGCACCCGTGTCACACAGTGCTCATGGAGATTAGAAGATGGTGTCCAATTCCTTTGAAATGGAGTTACAGACCTCTGTTAACTGCCATGTGGGTGCTAGGAACCAAACCAGGTCCTCTATAAGAGTAGCCAGTGCTCTTAACCACCAAGTCATCTCCACCCCTTATGTTACCTTTTAAAGCACACTTTTGGGTATATATTTACTATGTGAATATTTTGTTTGAGTAAGAGGCTTTGTAGTAAAGTTAGTTCAAGCCAGGACCTGAAAGGACTTGACAGGATCTTAGTAGAATTGACTTCTGTTAATCCCATCACCCATGGCTGTGTTTCTGTTTTCTCCCCTAGGATTTATGGTTGGTAGAGACTATGAAGCTGAAGGGATTGCCAAGGATGGTGCCAAGATGGTGGCCACTGTAGCCTGTGCCAAAGTGCCCAAGATAACTGTCATCATTGGGGGATCATACGGGGCTGGAAACTACGGGATGTGTGGCAGAGCGTATAGGTGGGTGATTGTCACAATTTTCTCTGGAAGAAAGAAATGTGTTTCAGTTATAATTACAAATGGTCAGTGTAAAGCCAGTGGCACATGCCTGCAATCCTGGCACTCAACAGGTGGAGGCAGGAGAATCAGAAGTTCAAGGCCAGTTTGGGCTACATGAAACCCTGTTTCAAAAACAAAAAAAGCAAAGCAAAATGGAAGTAAATTACCCATTCATTTCTGGTTTGGGATATAAAATGGCATTCACCATAGTTGAACATTTATATCCTAGTCTGAAGTGGTGGTAGGCCTTTCCCATCATGCCCGGTTGTGTTAATTAACTTGACCATTCTGTTCTTGTCTCTCAGCCCGAGATTTCTCTACATGTGGCCAAATGCTCGTATCTCAGTGATGGGAGGAGAGCAGGCAGCTACTGTGTTAGCCACAGTAACAAGGGATCAAAAAGCACGGGAGGGGAAACAGGTAAGTGACTTTTTTTTCCATCTGGGTTTGACCATCACCAGCAAAGCCCTGGAGCCCAGCAGCAGAGTGCCAGGCTCCCTCTGTGTGCACCAGGAAGCTGTCAGGGGTGCTGACGAAAGCTAGTTCAACAGTCGGGGCTTATGCACACATTTAAAAATCTGTCTTTCTTAAAGCCATTTCAGTTGAGATGCCTTGTGGTTATTTACATATTTTCAAAACCTCTTCTCCCTCTCCTCCACTCCCCTCCCTTCCACTCCTCTTTTATCCCCTGCCTTCCTCCCCATGCTAGTCAAGCTCTCTACCACTGAGTTATACCTGCAGCCCCAGATATCCCTGTGTGTGCTGACACTCATTTTCAGTTAGTGGGATTTAAGGAAATCTGATTTATTTCTTTGACCAAAAGCAGAAAAATTTTGTTTTCTTCATTTTACTTTTAAATTGTTGTTAAGTGTCCTTTGAGTGGGAGGATTGTCACCTACTGAGAATTGAAAAGCATTAGTATTCTGTGAAAATAAAATAAGGAAAATGGAAAGAAAGGACAGTGGAAACTTGAAAGGCAAATTAGCAAGTGGCTGCTCTTAAATGGGCTGTTTGTGTCTCTGTTAAAGATTCTTCAGAAACTTGGTATGAATTTTTATTAGATATATCTCTTAACAGCATCATGTAAGCACATTTCCTAAAACGTTGGCTGCGTGTTCCTGAATTAGCTAGGTGCACCATTGTCTCATCGGAGGAGAGATAAGTGGAGGTGGCCTGGGTGACATGGGCTTTGCTTTGCCAGCAGGGATTGTCTGGTCTACTGTGGGGGCTGAGTCTCTGGGATGGTACAAAGCCAGAGAGGTGCCTTCTGTCCCCCTGGATGCAGCCACTCATGCCTCTTATCTGTCATTGTCTTCATGTCTCTGTGTGTGCATGCACACATTGTGTGTGAACGTGGGTGTAATGTGGAGGTCAGAGGACACCTTCTGGTGTTGGTCCTCACCTTTCACATTGTTTGAGACAGGGTCTGTGTATGCTCTGTTGTTTTCATTAGGCTAGCTGGTCTGTGGGCTTCCAGGGAGCCTTGTCTCCACTTCCCATCTCCCCATGGAGGTGTTTGGATTATAGACACTGCTGCTACATCCAACTTTTACGTGGGTCCTGGGGATTTGACCTCAAGTCTTCACAATTGCACAGCAAGCACTTTTACCCACTGAGCCATCTCCCTAGTCCATCTCATTGCTTTACCAGGAAGCAAACACTCTGCAGACTTACACTGAGCTTTTTAGATTTGCTTTAGTATCAACTAATATCAAAGCAAAATGGTAGCTTTGCTTTGTGCGAGTCTAGGTGGAAGAGGGCCAAGGGCAGGTTGGTAGTGTAGTTGGTGGGGTGGGATATGGAAGTCTACCTGATATTTTGAAGACGCATTTGAACTCTTTGAAGCACAAGTAATCCCTTGTTAAATAATAGTTTTTCAATTAATTTGATATAATGTAGATATTTGAATCATCCCCTTTTATGTATTAAAGTGTAGTGTGTCAGTAGTTCTCCCTCCCGAGTCTTGACCTAAACACTAAAGTGTGTATGTAAGAGAAGGTAAGATTTACCTGGAATGAGTCATTTGTTTGTAGAGTTATATATTATTTATTTATTTTGGTACTAGAAATTGAATCCAGGACCTCCCAAATGCTGGGAAAGTACTCTACCACTGAGCTACATCCCCAGCTCTAGAATGTTTTTAAGTTGAAAAACAAGTTCCATAAATTTTTACATCTGAATTATAACTTGGTCTTTATAGAACAGATAAGAACGTCATTAAATTTCTAATGAGAGTAAAATATCTCTCAGTTATGTGGGAAATTGACTGAAGATGTTATTCAAGGTGTGGTTGACATTTTACCAGTTTATGTTTTTAAATTTTTGGTTATTTGGAATAAAAAGATCACACTTTTTAACCAGAGAGTGCTAAATATAATGTAGCTTTTTTGTTATGTGCTATGACTCATGTGCGTTATTGTTCCCTGCTAGAATAACAGTGTTGTGTGATACAGCTAGTTTTGGCCTTGCATTTTAAGGTCTTAGGCTGTTACTTCTGATGACACTTCACCTGTGTTCTAGACAAGGGCATGTGTCTTAAAGCATTACTTGCAATCCATATATAACGGTGCACATGTTAGTTGTACCATAGTTGTTCATCGAGCATGTCTTATGAGGTCACCAAGATGGAGTCAGTTGTTCCAGTTAAGCTGGCTTGCTGTCTTGTTTCTTTCAGTTCTCCAGTGCTGAAGAGGCAGCTTTGAAAGAGCCCATCATTAAGAGGTTCGAAGAGGAAGGAAACCCTTACTACTCCAGTGCTAGGTGAGAACAGAGCTCTTCTCTCACACACCGAGGGGGCTCTTGGTACCTAGGGCAGCGGCTTCACAGAAACCTGTGCACTTGGTATGGTTGACTTTCATTCATAGGAATCAAGAAATAATGTCTGGCAGGGCATGATGATGCACTATTTGGAAGACTGAGGCAGGAGGATCAAGGTTTGAGACTAGTCTAGTCTACATAGCAAGAGTTCATTTGGAAGACTGGGGCAGGAGGATCAAGGTCTGAGACCAGTCTAGTCTACACAGCAAGACCGTGTGTGTGTATGTGTGTGTGTGTGTACACATATACATATCTGCTGAACAAACAATTTTGTACTATGTTTTGTTTATGTTATGCTAAACTGTCACTGTCCTCCTAGGCTTCCCTGCACTGTAGTTCCATCACTTTTGCCCCATCATCCTTCCCCTAGTTGGGGCATCCAGAAACTGGTGGGGCCCTGTAGCCAGTGGTGGACCATGCCAGGAGTTAAGAATAAGAATTCTGATCTTGGGTGTTTCATTTTCAGGAACTGCTTAAATTTTTTGCTTAAACACACAGAGTCCTGTCATACCCTTCTGGTTGTTTGGTTGCTTACCATTTTTAGGCAGGAGATTGGTGGAGAACATACTGGCACTTGTTCACAAGTGTGGGGAAGGTGATTAGTCCCAGCAGGGTCCATGTGTCAGAGCTAAGTAATTACCTCCCACACCACTGCAGCTGTTGGTTGTTTGTTTTCTGTGCCACTTAATGAGGTAATAAATTCCCCTTGCCTGTCCCAGCTGGAGACCTGCTGGTGCGCTTTCAGATCATTCTCTCCAACAACTGTAATGTTCTACATCTTGAGGACAAATGTAAATCTCATGTCTTTCTTTCATTCCTTGGGCAGGTAGACCAAAAAAATTACACTTGTGTCTTCTAAAATTAGGTTATGCTTTGAATTATGTCCTTTACTGGTGAAGGCAAACTGGAGGGAGAAATTAAAAAGTTAGAATCCATGCTGGGTGTGGTGGCTCACGCCTTTAATCCCAGCACTTGGGAGGCAGAGGCAGGCTGATCTTTGTGAGTTAGAGGCCAGCCTGGTCTACATAGTGAGTTCCAGGACAGCTGGGGCTACAAGAAGACCCTGTCTCAAAAAGACAAAAAAAAGATAGAATCTATGTCAGTCATTGGAATACACCCTCTGTGGCTAGCACTGGTCTTAGCAGTAGGGTGCAGATGCATGCCTACTGATACTCAGCACCATTAGTTTGAGTTCAAATAATAGCATTTGAGATATTTGTTGTTTGGCAACAGGGTCTCATTGTAGCCCAAGTTGCCAAAAACTGTCCGAGTCTAAGAATGACCTTGAACTTCTCATCTCCCTGTTTCCATCTCTGGAATACTGGGATTATAGGCCCATTTGCCACCACGCCAGTTTTATGCAGTGTTAGGGATCTAACCCTGGATCTCTAGCTTGCTACCAACTGAACTACATACCAAGTACATTTGAGATTTAAAAAACTACTTTATTATTACTTTTTATTTTATGTGTATGAGTGTATTGCCTACATGTTTGTAAGTGCGCTTGTGTTTTGCCTGCATGTTTGTAAGTGCCTGCGGAGGTCAGAAATGGGTATCTGATCCTGTGGAACTAGAGTGACAGGTAGTTGTTAGCCAACATGTCAGTGCTGGGAACCAAATCTGAGTCCTCTGTAAGAGCAGCCAGTGCTCTTAACCACTGAGCTGCCTCTCCAGCCTCACATTTGAGATTTTTTTAAAAGCCTGTTTGTTTCCACATCAATTATGTTTCTAAGGTATATTATATTGTGGTAGGTTGGTTCATTTACTTAACAACAAAATACTTGATAATCTTTTATTTGAGCAACAAAGATGTACTTCATTTTGCCATTATACAAAAAGACTTATATAGTAATAATAGCTAGTAGAGGCAGAGAAGCAGTAGAAAATCCAGAAGTGTTTATTATAAGCCCACTGAATTGACAGGTTTTCACTGGGGATTTTGACTGAAATGCTCAAGAACAGTTCAAATATTTCAACTTTAGAAAATAGGGATTCTTATGTGAGCCATGAACTTATTTTTCTCTTTTTAAAAATTTTATTATTTTTATTTTATGTATATGAGTATATTGCCTGCATGTGTGTAAGTGCACCCATGCCATACAGTGCCCACAGAGGTCAGAAGAAGGCATCAGATGCCCTGGAACTGGAGTTATGGATGGTTGTTAGGCACTATGTGGGTGCTAGGAATCAAACCTGGGTCTCCGCAAGAGCAGTCAGTGCTCTCAACTGCTGAGCCAGGTCTCCAGCACCCATGAACTTGTTTTTCATGTCTGGCTAAGACGAATCATCTTGGGAAAGATTGCATCCTTCATTATTTTCATAGTAACATTAATATTCATTCATGGATTATATTCTGCATTAGTGCACATGGCCAGAAATATCTTTGGAAACAAATGTTGAAAGACAAGGACGTTTCTCTATTAACGTGTAGGTGTTTAACCCTACTGTTGAAACAGTTGTTGACCTGGAGATAACAATCTTCTCTTGAAGATGAAAAGCTTTTCAAGCTGGTTTAGGGTGCTGTTCTTGGGTTTGGCAAATCCTATCTTTACAGTAATTCCCTGGCTTGCTTAGGCGTGAACGTGGCAGCAGATAGTTTTGGGCGAGTCTTCTGTTACTGGAACCTCTGTTTTGTTTCCTGTGTTGCTTTTCCTTTTGCAGTACTGAGAATCAAACCCAAGACCACACATGTAAGGCAAGTGCTTTACTGCTGAGTCCCAGCCCTGGCCCTCCCAGTGTTTCCTTACTCCTTTATGTTACATAATGTGCATATGCTCAAGTGTTTCAATCAAACTTTCCCAGGCATTGATTGACCCTTTTCCCTGGACAGTCTTTAATGGCGGTCATTAATCAGCTCCTCCCTCAAGGCGCACAGAGATTCTACAACCAGAGCCTCAAGAGGGATAATCAATCCACCTCTTCACAGATTCCAAGCATAGCCTTCTGTTTATTGACCATTGATAACTTGAGTCCCTATGATGAATGTTTTATGAGCAAAGATTTGATTCCTGTCTGCTGATGTGAAAATGGTTTAAAAATTGATGGGGCGTGTAAGTGCTAGAGTCAGTTTGTGTAAAAAAGGTAAAACCATCACTCACTAATAGCTCTTAAAAAGTGGAATTTCTCATTTGGGTAAAGTGGTTCATGCCTATAATCCCAGCACTTGGGAGGCTGAAGCAAGAGGATCCCCATAAGTTTGGGGTTAGCTTGGGCCACAGAATAAGACCTGTCTCATAAAATCAAAAGTAAGCAAGCAAACGAGAAAAACAAGAAAGTGATATTGCTTATTCATTTTGAATAATATACCTTTTTCAGTAAAGTCACTGGGTTGAGATTATATGGGACACTCTGTGTTAAAAATAGAAGCATATTAATTTGACCAGTACATTTTTGTGAGTAAAAATGGAACTGTCAAGGTTTTTCTGAAATAAGTAAAGCAGGATCACTTTGAGGATTCATGTAAGTAGTTCCTAAAGCCTGAAGCTCTGTGTGAGGGGTCTGGTGGGCTAGGGTTGAGAACCGTGATGTTCTTTTATCTTTTTTTTTAAACACTCTTGAACATGGCTTCTTGTGGGAGACTCCAGGACACAGGTACTAGTAGTAGCTCTCTGTACTGTGTGAGGAAATCCTCGTAGCACTTCCAAGCGTGGTGTGGATAGATGGTGACTTGATGGTAAATTCAGAGTAACCACTTTTCATTCTTTTCACAGGCTGTGGGATGATGGGATTATTGATCCCGTAGACACCAGACTGGTCCTGGGTCTCAGCATCAGTGCAGCCCTCAACGCACCCATCCAGAAGACTGACTTTGGCATCTTGAGGATGTAACTGGATATAAAACATATTACGCATATACCAAAAATTAACGTGTAGTACCAGCCTTAAAACTTTAGACTGTTGCCAGGCATGGTGGTGCATGCCTTTAATCCCAGCACTCGGGAGGCAGAGGCAGGTGGATCTCTGTGAGTTTAAGGCCAGCCTGGTCTACATAGTGAGTTCCAAGACAGCTGGGACTACAGGGAGACCCTGTCTCAAAAAGAGAAAAAAAATAAAAATAAAAAAAGGATACCTAACTGAAAAGTAACTATTTATGCTTCTACCCATAACAAATGTTGTTTTCATGCTAAATCTGGAAGCTTTTCTTCACACTGAATGGTCTAAAGCATAAACTTATAGTAGTTGTGATTGTCTGTACTGGCCTTGCACCAGACTGGTTTAGCAGAAAGTCAAT